GCCTCCGGGCAATCTGGGCAAGGGGGAGCATATAGATGTTAAATAACATTGGGGAGAGCACTGCTCCTTGGGGAACTCCACAGACCAGTGGGTGCCTTTGGGACTGCTTCTCCCCAAGTGCCACCCTTTGTCCCTGACCCTGGAAAAAGGAAAAAGCCATTGCCGAGCCAGCCCCTGGATCCCCACATCGGCGAGGCGGTGGGCGAGCAGCTGATGTTCGACCATGTTGAACGCCGCCAACAGATCTAACAACAGCAGCACCACCGTCCCACCCCGATCCAGATGCCTCCAGAGGTCATCTGTGATGGCGACCAGTGCTGTCTCCGTCCCGTAACCCGGGCGGAAGCCGGACTGGAAGGGATCTAGAGTGGAAGTGTCATCCAGAAAGCTCTGCAACTGTATCACCACCACCCTCTCTATTAATTTGCCCAAAGCGGGCAAATTGGAAACCGACCGGTAGTTGGCCAATTCGGCCAGATCCAGGGATAGTTTTTTAAGAGAGGGCGGACCATCACTTCCTTGAGAGCCCTTGGGAATAGGCCCTCAATGAGGGACCTGTTGATAATGTCCCTAAGGGTGCCTCGAAACCCCTCGCGGCCAGTTTTATTTAGCCAGGAGGAGCACTGATCAAGGCTGCATGTGGTTGGGCGTACCGTTGCGATCAGTCTGTCAACTTCCTCTAGGCTGAGAGGCCCGAAACAATCCAGAATGGGACCAGAAGACATGCATGGGGCCTCGAGTTCACATACTGTCTCAAGTGTGGTCAGGAGGTCGCGGCGGAGTGACAAGACTTTGTCTGCAAAACGGCTCGCAAAAGCCTCACAGCCTATATCCAATTCCCTCACATTTTTCCTGCTCTGAGGCAGGGTGGTTAAAGACCGAATTGTTCTATACAGTTGTGCTGGGTGCGAGTTTGCAGACGCAATCGTGGCTGCGTAGAACTCCCTCTTTGCAGCCTTGGTTGACATCTCATACGACTTCATAAACGTTTGATAGGATGCTCTTGACGCTTTGTCGCGAGCCCGCCACCACCGTCTCTCTAGCTGTCTGAGCCTTTGCTTCATCAGCCTCAGCTCCTGGGTATACCAAGGAGCCAGCCTTGAGTGAGGGTGTAGAGGGCATCTGGGAGCGATCTCATCAATGGCCACCGAGAGTCGGCTATGCCAGTCCTAGACAAGCTCATCTAGTGAGCCGCCAGGGGGCAATGGATCCCGGAGAGCCATCTGAAGCTGCAGTGGGTCCATTTGGCTTATGTGTTTCAAGATGATATGCCTTATGTGTTTCAAACACCTGCAGGAAGAGGAAGACCATTGTAAAGCTACTGAAACTGTTTAAAATTAAAATATGTTGGTAAATAAAGCTGTGGAGACACCTTAGTATTACATACCTGCATAGTATAATTCACTCCGGCTTTTATTAGATGTTTAATTAGTTCTGCTGAATGCTGGAAATGGACTTTAGCTATGGGACAACAACACCTGAATGTTAGTAATAAGCATTATTAATATGAATCAGATCCTACAAATTAGCCTAACAATGTGCAAACGCTCACCTCGCATTCGCCCCTCACCCCAGACAACAGGCTTCTATTCTGAAATTCAGGCATGCCAACACATGTGCTTGATAATATAAAATGTGTTTGCTTGGCAGTTTTGAGAATATCTTTCTTCTTTTCATGGACCATGGACTAGGGCAGATTGCTGTTTCAAACTGATTCAGTTCCAACTCATTAGGTAGCCGTATATATGACAGTATTAGTGAAACCCAAGTTAACACTTTTATGCCCACTGACTTCATTTGACTATAGTTCTGTTTAAGTTTGAACTGTAAATCAGTACCTGCTCCTCCAGTCTAATCTCCATAATGGAGGAGAAAATCCCTAACCATCCTTTGAGGATAATAATACTGACCTACCTTACAGAGTAGCTGTAAAGATTATTGAAATAGTATGTGAAGCATACTACTATTTAAATATGGTTATAGTTCTCTTAATATACTGTTTGAAAAGATTTCAGAGTTTCAAAATATGAGTACTAGTATATTAACACAACTTAACGTTGGCCGGTTTTGTAGATGGAAGAACAGCATAGTTATCAAGCATGTCATCCTGAAGACATTATGACCTTATTCTTCTCCATCATCATCTGACATGCAGTCTTAGAGACACGATGACACTCTCATGCTATTATGATGCCTAGGAAATGGCTGAAGCAAGATTATAGTAGTGATACTTATTGAATGTGTATTATTGAATGTCCTTGAAGCACATCATCATCTTTTTTTTGGGGGGGGTATTTTTGCATTTTGTGTGTGTGCGTGTGTGTGCCCATGCCTGGAAGTCATAGCGACCTCTGGAGACTCCTCCTAGGACATGGTGGATGTTCAGAGAAGTGGCTTGATAGCCTGCCTCTGTCTTCCAGCCCCGGTATTCTCTGGAGGTCTCCCATCCAAATACTTGCCAGGGTCGGCCCTGCTTAGCTTCTAAAATCTGACAAGATCGGGCTTCCCTGGGTTATCCAGGTGAGGGCAAGCACAACATAATCTTGATCAAAGAAATTTCAGTTGGGGTTTCCATCCTAAATGCACTTGTCTGTCAGGACAGACAAACATGTTCATATCTTACCGCTCCATTAAAGAAACAGTTGGGCTACCAACATATGCCTCCATTCACAATGTCATTATCTATATTTGGTTTGTGCATTTGCATACATTAAGGGGGAAATGAAAATTGATATGTTAGTTCTGATCTGAAGAGGTCTATGAAAGACAAACACAGAATCATGTCACAGCATAATGATTTTGTGTGCCCTGAACTGTCATGTTCTCAGGGTTGAAACCGATCTATGATCAGGCTCATCTCGTTTGCATTTTCTGAAAGCTAATGAACAGCCATACATCCTTGTGCCTGTTATTTGCTGATTTACATAGTTGTGTCCCACTTTTCTGAAAATGTTGCCAATGCTGTCCCAGCAACCCCTCCCCATTTTCAAATCAAGGTAGAGCTGTTAATTGGCATTAGAAAAGCTACTTTGAAACTTCCTAATTATTATTTACAGCTTGACCCTTAGACTATGTATTAGATCGGACTAGACTGTCCTTTAAAACTTATTGGAGAAATCCTTCTGTGAAGATAAAGTAATGTCCTTGTTTTCTTAGCTGATTAATTTCTTCAGCATTGGTAAGGTTTATTTATAAAAGGATTTATTGGGATGTGTGACCCTGCTGAGTCAAACATGAACCATTTTCATTTTTTGAAAGAGCTTCACCTTTTACTTAAAAAGTCAGCTAGGGACGAGTTTGTATTATTGGTCAGATTATGAATAGAGTAAGCCAATCAGATGAAGGGGAAGGTTGTAGGATTTTATTATTTCCCCAGAGATAGATATATTCCCCTCCTCTATGAAACAAATGTTAGAATTCCCTAAATTGATATCTTTCTGCTTCCTCCTACAGCTTCATACACCACCCCATAAAGCTGCTGTAAAAAGGTTAAGGGATCCTTGGTAATAACGTGTAAAGAAGAAGGAATCAGCAAAAATCCCCTCCATTCTCCTGGGTGAGCTCATCTGGGTGCATACGCAGAAGAAATTATTGTGCTGTCTTAAGCAGGGTTCACGGATGAGGGGAAAGGGTTATTTCTACTGATCTCCCTTCAGGCTGCAGCATGATGCACTGTATCCTACCCTGCTACTGATGATCCCTTAACCTTCAAGAGCAGTTTTTCATGAGGTACCAGACAAGTGAGATTCATTGGCGGTTCACAAGATGCAGCCCGTGATAATAAAGAAAGGATTTGCACTAACCTATCACTGTGTTGTACCACTGAATGCGTGTCAATGCAGACCCAGCTCATTAATGTATTAATGTTTATTAAAAGTAAGTCCACAGTTTTTAATTATTTATCACTAGGAGTAAGGCTTGTTGTGGGAAGAAATATAACGAGCTCTAGAAGGAAGCTCCAGGTGAGTGTCCCGGTGGGGCGGCAGAGGGGAGGCAAGCCGTGTTTATTATAAGGCAGGGCTGTCTCAAGTCATTTTGCTGCCCCATGGGTAGTATGGGAGGACAGCCTCATGGTAACAGGTATGGTTCCCTCCACCCCTGACTTATGTTGATTTGGGGTTATGCAGTGGCAGCTAAGGTAGAAAAGCACCTCCACCTATGACATGTCTTCTGGGTTCCAAGGGTCTGGAAAGTGGTTCCATAGCCAGTTACAGGGTTGCCAACTCTGGGTTGGGAAATACCTGTAGATTTGAGGGGTAGAGCCTGGGGAGGGCAGGGTTTGTGGTGGGGAGGGATGTCAGCAGGGTATAATGCCATAGAGTCCACTGCCCAAAGCAGACATTGTCTCCAGGAGAACTGATCTTGGCCATCTGGACATCAGTTTTAATAACTGGAGATACCCAGGTGCCACCTGGCAGTTGGCTTATGTTAATTTGGGGCTATGCAGTGGCAGTTAAGGTAGAAAAGTATCTCCTCCTATGCCATGTTTTCTGGGTTCCAAGGGTCTGGGGAAAGTGGTTCCATAGCTAATTACACAGTTGCCAACTCTGGGTTGGGAAATACCTGTAGATTTGAGGGGTGGAGCCTGGGGAGGGCAGGGTTTGGGGTGGGGAGGGACCTCAGCAGGGTATAATGCCATACAGTCCACTGCCCAAATCAGCCATTGTCTTCAGGAGAACCGATCTTGGTCATCTGAAGATCAGTTGTAATAGCTGGGAAATTTTCTGTAGGGGAAATGATGGTGATTTCTGGGAGATCTCCCAGGCCCCACAGAGAGATTGGCAACTCCAGTAACCATTTAAGGGAAGATTGGGGATGTATTTTACCTCAGGACACATTCAATGACTTGCAACAGCAACCTGTTTAGTATGTTAGAGACAAAGGCCAATCGGGTCACATATGCAAACGACCTCTGTGTTCCGACTGGCTATGGGGGGGGGAAGGAACAGCAAACTGTTTAGAATGTTGGAGGCGGGACTCAGGCAACACAGCCAGTGGATAGGGACAGCTTGTGAGCAATGTTCCCTCTAAGCTGAGTTAGTGTGAGCTAGCTCACAGTTTTTTAGCCTCCAGCTCACGCATTTTTGTCTCAGCTCAGGAAGGGTGGCTCCAGAGCAATCAAATTTACGCAGTAGCCAAATTGCTCGCTCACAACTTTCATGCCAGTAGCTCACGAGGTAGAACTTTTGCTCACAAGACTCCACAGCTTAGAGGGAGCCTTGCTTGTGAGTGATACATCATGGAGCCGACTGATTTAGGAGCATGTGGAATGTTCAGAAAGTGCCACCCCAATTCACAATTATACCTGGTGCAGGGTTCTTCTGTTCTGCAAGAGATGTACATACAGAAGAAGCACATCATGAACAGTGATAGGAACCCAATGGAGATAAGTGATACTGCCTCTGCCCTGTGTATGCCACCTACCAAAGAGTCAAACATGCCATTTCTGAGCTGAGACAGCTGTAGTAAGGAGCAGTAATGAGTTGGGCAACTAGATTCCAAAATATGGCTGCACATGGTAGGAAAGAGGATGGGACAGTACTGTACAATGGGAAGAATTCACTATTTGGCAGAAGGATGTTTATGTGGAGGTTGAAGGATACCCTAACAAATATAGTAAATAATACTGACGGGCATGGCACAAGGCTGTTAGACAGAGCTGTAAACTGGAGATACTGCAGAATTTGTTCTAACAGTTGGGCAAATGTTAATAATTTTATCCTGCTGTGGATGCATGTTGGACAGAATAAAGTTTACATGATTTTAAAATATTTTAAATAGAAAGCCGGATATATTTGTTTTCATATGATTTTTCTCGTGTATGTGTATACACACGTATCTCATGAAATACACATTTAGCTTCCTCAGAGGAACATGAAATGCCCTAAAGAAAATAATGGAAGATCATGATATGGGTTGCTGAACATATACAGCTCCAGAATGAGATGAAGAAAGAAATAATTGCTCATCATTATAAAAGCACCAGAACTGTTAATACACTGTAAAATGTTGAATGCTAGAGTTGTTGCTTGCTTCTGTTTGCCAGGGGCAGAATAGGGATTGATTTAAATGTAGATTAAATATTGATGTTGTCAATTATTAACATCTATTGCCTTTCACCATTAACATTGTTTTATAAGATGTAAACAAACTGCTACTTATGGCTGCTTAGAGTTACAAATATTCAGTTATGAGAAGTGTCACCTGTTAAGATCTAAAACTGACAACTGAGTTTGACAACTGGATCTCTAGGGGCAGACAAAGCTCAGCCTTATCAAGAACTACACACGCTTGCTCCATGCCTATCTCTTGCTGAAGTTCTTTGTGTGACAAGCTACAACTGCAAATGGAGTGGCTTTTGTAAATACTTACTATCAGCTGTCCCGTGGATGATTAACAAATTTCCTTCCTTGAAGCCATGAATATTGTGTAGTACACTGGATGCCTTTAGGAAAGATACACACACAGGGACACACACATCTGTAACTGATATAGATTTCCAATGCCCTTGCCATCCCCATACATCCAAGGTCCTCACTGCAGCTGGCTTACCTGATATGCATTTTCTTCCTTAGATGGAAGACCCAGGTATCTTTCTGAAAAAGCTGACGCTGTACATGGAAAGCAAAAAGAAACTATTTCAACTTGTCTTCAAAAGAGGAGTCTTGATATTTATGGCCCTAATTAACGGATGAATCTAAAATAATAGAGAATTTAACCAAGTCTGATCGAATAGTTCCATTGCTGATTGAGCAGTTCCATTACCCATCATGTAATGTATAAATATAGAAGGGGAAAACCCCATGGATCTTCCTGCCTTTGAACAAGTGGATACAAAATACTCACCATATAATCTCATGTCTGTAATTGGAGCTATCACAGTTCCACACTTGAAAAGTCTTTCATTGGACTTCAGAATCATTGATGAAATGTATCCTCCATAGCCCTACAAAACACGCTAATGTGAGTAATTACTGCCAGCTACAGCCTTAATGAAACCATACGTTTTTATTTTAATTGGCAAACTTACATACTGCTTTTATGTTTTAAAAATAGTCCAAGTGGTGTACAATAAAAGAACAATAAACATCATCGTCACAACAATAATAAAAACATAATTGGAGAAAGCAAAGGCTTGAGCAAACTACAAGACTATCAGAGTACAATCGGCTGATGAGGAGGATCATTGCTCCGGCTCGACTGATTTGAGGCCTAGTGCATTGCGGAGTCTGGTCTCGTTGGACGTGGTTTGTTCTTGTGTGGGGTTAGGGTTTCGTGGGGACTGGCTGGGGGTCTTTGTGAAGGGCAAATCTTTCTTGCCCTTTTGCCGACCTTCCCCTCCCCCATTTTTCTCCTGCCTGCCCATTTTTCCTCCTCCCCACTCACTCCGTGGTGGGCCTTACCCTGCCTTCCTTGGTGTTTGGGTGCCCCCATTTAATCTTTCATGGCAGCCTTAAATGGGGTTGGCTGTGGTTCATATACTGCATATGTGGGTGGCACCATTTTGTTTGCACCATTTTCATTGGGCCGGGATGGCGTCTGGTAAAGGGAAGGGTCCCACTAAGGATTCACAACCCACTTCCAAAGCTACACTGAAAGGTGTGCCTGAGGTTCACTCCTCCTCAGATGAGGAGGCGATGGAACAAGAGTGCCAGTTGATTTTGGAGCATCTGGAGGCGTTGGAGAATGCAGGGTGGTTACAGTTGCATGGAGGAGGGTGGAAATTCCTCGGTCAGTGCAACGGGCTCATTCTTTCTGATTTAACCAGTCGGTGTTGGCCTGTCTTGCAGCCTTAGAAGGATCTTCCACCTCAGCTCTTTCTGTGGGTAGCGAAGAAGCGGGGCTTGATCAGAGAGCTGCAGCACTTGAAGGTCTGTGACTAAGGCTGCACCCATTGGCATGGCTGCTGTGGCTGCGGAGGGGACACGTAAGTCAGATGCTTCTTCTGGGGGCACAGTTTGGCCTTGGGGACGTTGGGGTCTGGCTGGGAATGGCAGTGCAGCAGTGCCTAGTGCCCCCTCAGGCAGTAGTTCTGGGGCACCACTGGTAGTGCCAGATCAATGGGGTTTGATGCCTCCCCCTTTCACGGGAGCATGGCCTTTAGGGGCATGTGAAGTGCTCCCGGAGCAGCTGCCTTCTTGGGGCAATTGGGGTTATGGGGCTGCTGGTGGAGGCTCCTTTGGCTCCATCCCTTTTAGCACTATGCTTAGGGGGGATGTCGGTATGCCACTTAGTGATTATTTGACCCTGGTGACTAAGGAAAATTCTGAAGGGGGATTTTGTTGATGTTTTCATGTTATTATTCAGGGAAATTGAAAAGAAAGACAGAGATGATCTTGACGAGCAGGATAAGGAGAGGCTGAAACGACAATGTGTCAACCACTCATGGGCTAATTGGTTGCCTGTTTTTTTAATCTATGTGGGAATCCTTGCTAGGACTCACTCTGTGAGGGCTGCTCCCTGTTTTCAGTACATAGACATCATTTATCAGGCTTATACTGAATTTTAAGGAGGTGCCTGGCTACAGTATGATGAAGAATTCATGATGGGGGTGGTGGTTAACCCTGCTCTGCCATGAGATCAGATACATCAACACCTCTGGCTCCAACTTATGGCCCCAGCCAAGCCTTCCTTGGGAGCACTCAGACAGCGGCCACATTATGCAAAAAGCTGCTGGTGTGACAGCATCTTGCCTCTGGGGGCATCAGGGTGTTCAATTACTCTGCTGGGAATTCACTTCACAAGGGGTTTGCACACACAAGCCCTGTAAGTTCAGACATGAGTGCCCCTTCAGTGGGGGTTCCCATGCTTTTACAGCTTGGTCCAGAGCAAAGCAGAGGGGTGGTGGCAAGCGACCAGGAGGCAGTGGCAACTCTCCCCAAGGTGTTGGAGAAGGGTCCCAGCCCTATAAACGTGACTCAGCTTAAAAAAATGGCAAGCCTCCTGACCTAATACTGTAGATAGTTTGTATTTGATGGATGGTTTCACTAACGTTTTTAGGATTCCTTATACAGGTACACAGAAGGCCTTCATGGCTAAGAACCTGAAATCTATTGTGGGGCTTGAGATAGTGGTTAGGGATAAGATCATGATGATTAAATTAAATTGTAGGGCTCTGGGTATACATAGTATTAAAGGAGGGCAGAATTTTGGGCCCCTTTCTGTCTCCCCCCATTCCTACATTACAGGTGTCACCGCTAGGGGTGATTCCCAAGAAAACTGAGGTTGAGTATCCCTTGATACATCACCTGTCCTTTCCTAGAGGCAGTCCAGTCAATGACACTATCCCAGATCGCCTGTGTAAGGACCGTTATATTTCTTTTGATCAGGTTGTCAGGGTGGTCCGGCGGTGTGGCCTGGCAGCTGAGATGATGAAGTGTGACATTAAGCCAGCTTTTCGCCTGTTGCCGGTGCACCCGGGGATTTCAAACTTTTAGATTTTGCCTTTGAGGGTTAGGGCCCTTCCTATGGGATGTTCTATTCCTTGTTCTGCATTTGAGTGTTTTAGTTCCTTTTTCGAATGGGCACTGAGAGTGAAGGCTGGGTTGAAGGATACTGTTCACTATTTAGATGAATTTCTTTTTGTAGGGCCAGCAGGGTCTGAATGGTGCCAACATCTACTCCAGTCCTTCACTGAATTGGCTGGTGAGCTGGGGGTCCCCCTAGCTCATGAAAAAAAAAACTGAGGGGGCATCACCCATTTTGACCTTTTTGGGGATAGAGTTGGACACTGTTAACCAGACTTCCTGATTACCAGAGGCTAAGTTGTCTCAGTTGCAGCCTCAGGTGGCTCTCTTTTTGTCTAAGAAGGAGGCTACTTCCTGGAGTTTTAGCAACTAGTGGGCCTCTGAATTTTGCTTGCCGGGTGGTAGTTCCTGGCAGGGCATTTTGTGTTGCCTATGTGGTGCTATGGTTGGGCTCAGGAGCCCAACCCACAGGGTTAGGATCAATAGGGAAATAAAGGAAGACCTGTAGGTTTGGGAGACATTTTTGGACATATTTAGTGGGGTTTCTTTCTGGAAGGAAGACTTGCACTTGCAAGGGGGACTTCAGGTGACCTCTGATGCCTCTGGATCAGTGGGTTTTGGGTTTTACTTCAGGGGTCACTGATGTGCCACTGACTGGCCCGAGGCCTGAGTTGCGAGTGGACTTTGTTGGGATTTGACCTTCCTTGAATTTTCCCCTAAACTAGTTGCCCTGTGGATTTGGGGGGAACAGCCGTCCAATAGTACAGTACATTTCTGGTGTGACAACTTGGAGGTGGTTCAGGTCATTAACTCTTTGACCTCCAACTTTCCGAGAGTCGTGAGTCTTGTGCGTCCCCTTTACGCTATGATGTTTGTAGTTGAATGTTCCTTCCCTTGTCAAGCATGTCCCAGGGGTAAATAATGGGGTGGTGGACACTCTGTCTCATAAACAGATGGAGAGGTTTCATCAACTGGCGACTTATGGCAACCCATCTCTCCTGTGGTACTAAAAGGGCTGTTTGGTACATGGACACAAGTGTGTAGCTCTGGCTTTGAGATTGTGCTATTTTATGCTGTCGCACTGACTGCATTTTTTTGGCACTCTACAGGACAGTGAGTTGGCTCAGCAATCTCAGTCAGATCCTCGGAAGAGGGCTCTGCAGGTAAACAATATTTCTTTTAAGGGCAACAACGTTGTAATCCCAGTACGGTAGTCCAAGACTGATCAAGAGGGAAAAGGGCATGAAATAGCCCTTGCCATTTGTGCCAACAGGGACCTCTGTCCAGTCTGGGCTTTGCACAGATATGTTGGTCAGCACGGCCAGGATGATGGTCCTCTATTCCTTCATGCAGACAAGTCGCCATTGACTAAATACCAGTTCTGGACAGTGACATCAAGGGTCATGACTAAGTTTGGCTTATACAGTGTGCTATTTGGCATGCATTCATTTAGGATTGGAGCTGCGTCCACAGCTGAGGCCATGGGCTATTCTGCCACAGCCATTCAGAAAGTAGAGTGGTGGCATTCAGCCACCTACAAGCCCTACATTTGGCCTTTGATGTCACTGTAAAATAGTGTTCCTTCTGATGTTCTCCTAATTGTTTTCCTGTTGTTGTTTGGCTTTAGGTTTGTTGGCTCCTGGGCGGAGGCTTTAGATTCTGATTGCTGGCCACAGCATGGTTTTCTGGGCGGCCCATCAGGTGGAGAGATCTGGAATGGGCTTGCAGCTGGGCTTGAGCGACTGTGCCGTTGTTGAATGGCAGGTCAGACGGGGCCTTCGTTGGACTGGGCTGATGCCCTTGTTGTTTGTGAAGTGGAGTGGCCCTCCTCCTGACATCCTGGTCATCCACTTGGGTGGCAATGACCTGGGGATGGTAAAGGGAAAGGCTCTGATCCTGCAAGTGCAGGCAAACATGCAGGACATTGTGGCACATTGGCCCAATGTCAGGCCGGTGTGGTCAGCTATTTCGCCCCGGCGGGTGTAGAAGTGGGTTTGTGATCCACACGCCATTGAGCAGGTGTGGAAGAAGGCTAACCACAAATTGGGAAATGCCATGATGGGTGGACTTGGTTTTGTCATCCCACACCCTGGCATTATCCATCTCTACCAAGATGATGGTCCATCTCTACCGAGATGATGGTGCTCATCTGTCTGAGACTGGGAATCGCATTTTCATAGAGGATTTGAGGCAGAGGCCAGATTGTCGGCCAGTGTATGTGCCAGATTGTCGGCCAGTTTGATTAGTATAGTTTGATGTGTGTGTTTTGGTAGTTTTTTTAGGGTTTAGTCTTCAAGTTACTAAACTCTGGCCCCGGTCACACGTAAGGATTTGGGCCGGGAGAGGGACGAATCGGGGGCGCAGCAAACGGGTGCGATCTCACCGCAACATCTGGGAAGCAGCGCTCACCTGTCCGTGATCCGGCCCTTCAGGCCGAAAACCCGCTGCAAAAAAGAACCACCCCTAGAGGTGGACTTACCAGAAAGGCCGCGGCAAGCGCAGCCGTGGGATCGCCGGCACGTCCTTCTGTCGGCGCATCCGAGGCTCCTGGCTGAACTGCGCATGCTCACACATGCGCAGGTCGGCAGCCTCCCTCTCTGTGTCATGACTTTCTCCCCGGTCTCCCCGGCATCTGATTGTGCCGAGGAGCAAGTGCACGGCAGCTCACGGGATCTGTGTGATCCCGCCGCCGCGTGCCTATTTTTGCTGGCGCATTCCCCCCCCCCCCCCGCGGGCGCGGAAGGGCTGTTTCAGCAATGATCTGTAATAGAGACAGTAATAGCATATTATTACAAAGAAATATTTTGGCAATGTTATTTGCTGAAAGAATGTTCATAGTTGTTACTATTTCATTACAGAGATTTAAAAACAGAATATAAAATAAGCATTATTTTTCTTATGGCTTGCAAATGTCTTTTTATCCCTCTAATAATACTTGCTGGAGGCTACACTTTTTATCCTGTTAATCTTCACAATTATAATTTATCTTGCAGAGGAAATTCAGCAGCAATATAAGTTGATAAAACATTAACAAGACTCTATGAGCCCACAGCATATTTGTTGTCCCTGCATAGGACACCAAGAAAGAAAAGAGGATACTGGAATTACTCTTTCCTTCTTAATTACACAGGATCAAAACATGACTCAAACACAGGACTTTGACCTCGGTAAAAGATGAGACACGTAACTAGTAAAGACTCTGAAAACCCTAAGGATACATGGTAATTTTTTCCTTGCATGTGGTTCTCCTTTTCAGATTTACCTGACGTAGGAGGATAGAGGCAGGTCAGTTTCAATCATCATGTAGATGCCATTCTATCAGACTCCCTATGGAAGCCACCACCCCATCAATCAGACATGCAGAGAAAATCTGTCAGCCACACACAGATTAATTCTACATGCGATAGAACAGTATGGAACATAGTGGAGCGATTTTAAATGGCCATAGTAAGTACAAACAAATCCTAAGAGGAGAGGCAATGGGTGCTATACAACATGGTGTTTCTCAGGAACAGAAAAATTGCAATCACACAGATGTGTACACTTCGTATGTAAATACAATAGCTGGCAATAATTGTCAACCGATCATACACACAAGCTATTATAAATTATTTTAGGGCTACCAGGTCTTGTGAATGACCTTTAGGTGCAATAAGTTAATGCACTGGCGTAATGCAGCAAGCTCTTCTTGGAAACAAAACAAAGAGAGCTGTATTCTTCAAACCTGAGGTAATCTCATACAAACTGTTATCATACATTTGAGGCATTTGTACAAAGCATCTGGAAAGCACTCTTGGTTATGCCACATTTCAGTCAAGAAAAATATCAAAGGTTAAAAACAGCAAAGCAATCAGACCATGCCCAAGTCTGCTTTATCTGATACATCAACCCAAAACATTTCTTCTTTGGGAGGTATTGATTTTTATTATATTTTTCTACTCACGTTCCAGTGCACACTTGGATTTTTCTATAATGAGGCACTGCACAGAACGTCTGGCGTCCAATACATTTCAATCTATTATTTCAAATTAGGAATGTACCAAAATAGAATAAATGTTTGCATATACGTACTCTACAGCTGCTATCTGATCCTTCACTTCGACTGATCCTAAGGAATGGTGGACTTCCTGAAGAATCTTTAGGCCTTGGAATCCACTCCCTCTTCCATCAAACCGAGCTACGATGATATTATCAGAGTTGACAAGCACAGAATCCCAGTCGATGTGGAATTTATCTGAAACCAACTGGCTGCCTGGAGCTTCATCACTGTAAATACCAACACACCAGACACAAACGGACTATTGACAATGTGATGCACTTTGCAGTTCTTCAATATTTTATTTAACCTGGGTGGCAGAGTTCTCTCAGAGTTATGCAATCCAGGTGAATTATTGTCAGTTTAATCTATAACAGCACATTAACTGATGCTATTATCCCTTATGGGAACAGTAAGCAAAAATAACTTCTTGAGCTCTGCGGAAATAACACACTGTTCACCTCTTTAAACCAAGCTGTACTTGCTGCATCAGGTGTGTGTGTGTGTGTGTGTAAAACAGAAATATTGGACTGGGGGAGAGGTAATAAATTCACATGAAAATGAAGCAACAAGATTGGATAACATTTAAAAATATATTAGAATTAGAATTAAAACCAAACATTTTTTTTCTGCTGACAAATGGCCTTTTACGGAAGTTGAAATTCATAGGCAGCCTCCCAAAATTTTGGTAAGTCACTTCCTTTTAAGTACCAGAGCTGCTTTGCTGGAGGCTGGTAGTATAAGGGGAGGAGAAGTAAATTCCTAGATTTTAGGACAATTCACAGAAATCTGCTCTTCAAGCCCGTACTATCTGAGATGACGTTCTTTACCAAGCTCCTATTCTTAGTTTTATATTCACAACCCCACTGGGTATGCAGTATAAAACCAGTTATAAAGGAACTCCAAGTGATTCATGCATGTCCTTTCCATATTTCTATGGCTTTCTGCAAAGGCAAAGAGGGAGCCATCATATTTTCCACCAATATGGATAGTTTTGATACATTTGCTCAGCTCATATTTTTCAGCACAGTGAAAGCTTGAGCATTTCACCATGGAAACAATCAGTTTGCCTGTTATACAGGATCCCTTTTACACAACAAAGAAGATTATGCGAGTAATCATCTATCACTTGCTAAACCACCACTCATTTCAATGAGGTCAGTGAACTAATAAATGATACTGGTGTACAGGATCTTACAGTACAGGAGGCTTAAAATGGAGTGAAGGTCTAGGTTGCATCATTGTTCTCTGACTCCTAATACCTGTAGTTCAGAATATTTTTTTTACAAACTAACTCCAGGAAAGTTTCAGTTTGTTTCTTGTATGAAATAAAATTAGGAAAACTTTTTGCTCATTTGTTTTCAGAGTTTGGGAAAATACAAAATAAGTGTAATTTATTTTATGATTGGGAAACAGAAAATTCTAGGATTGGAGGAAAAACACTTCAAAGAGACTGATACATTGGTAAGATTTTTTTATTATTATTATTTCAATGACAAAAGATTATTTTAAGCATAAATCGAGTAAATAAGCTAGCTAGCAGGAGCCAGTATAAAATATCTCTGAAGACTATATGTCACTGAAATTAAAATAAATGTGAAATTGCTTGCATGTTGTACGGAAACTAGATAGGACAGTATATATAGACACACTCTCAAAAAGACAGAGACAGAAATAAGTGTGTTAAGGAAGTCTAAACTTAACAGATAATGAGATATAAGATAAAAACACCCATATCCTTCAATTATTTTTTGTTTCAGAAGATTTTTAACCCCTGCAATAGGAAACAACTTATTGCTTTATTACTTGTTATTTATTTCACTTGTACCTTTCCCCTCAATGGGGACACAAAGTGGCTTACATCATTCTCCTCTCCTGCATTCTGTCATCACCTCCCTCCTGTGAGGTAGGTTAGGCTGATTGTGTGTAGGGTTGCCAAGT